ACCTGCATATGTGTGATGTCTGTGCTGTTGGAGAAAACTTAGTACAAAGAGGAATTGCAAGGAGCAAGGGCAGAGACCAAAAGGGACCTCTCCAGGAGAGACTTCCTTTTTGTATCTATTTAATAACTTCTGTATATTTATTTATTTTCACTTCTCATCCACGTTGTGGCCCCATCCCTCCTATCTTCCCAGTACCACCCTCCTTCCTTCCATTCCTCCCTCTCCCTTCCTTTTTCCTCAGAAAAGGGGAGCTCCTTTTCCCATCCCCCACAATCATCAAGTTGCATCAGGACTGAGCATGTCATTTTCTCCTGTGGCCTGGAAAGCCAGTCCCTTCAGGGGGAAGTGAACAAAAAGCTGGCAAAAGAGTCCATGTCAGAGACATTCCCTACTTCCTTTACTAGAGGACCCACATGAAGTCTAAGCTGCCCATCTGCTACATCTTTGTATGGGGCCTAGCTCCAGTTCATGCATGGTCTTTGGTTGATGCTTCCATCTCTGCCATCCCATCTGGGCCCTGGTTAGTTGGGTCTTTTGGTCTTCTTGTGGAGTTTCTTTCACCTCCAGGTCCTTTTCTCTTTCCTCCCACTATTCCCCAAGACTCCCTGTGCATCACTCAATGTTTGACTGTGAGTCTCAGCATCTGTTTTGAGGTGCTGCTGGGTAAACAGGCTCCTGTCTGCAAGCTTAGCAGGGTAAATTTCAGGTTGATGTGTTTGTGGGTGCACTGGTGTTCCTCTTCCTCTGCTAGGAGAATAGTTTAGTTAGAGGGTGTACTCTAAGGTCTCTGCTACTAGGAATCTCTGCTTGAATCCCCTTCATATCCTCCCAAGAGCCTACCCTGACTTAGGTCTCCAGCATGTCAACAGAGATATCCCCACCCTCAGTTTCTCTTTTCTCTTCTTCTGTCATCTCCTCCTGCCTTCGGGTCTGATCTTCACCCTCTTCACATTCTGTGCCCCTTCTCCTACCTTGTTCCCTCTCTTCAACCACTACTTCTGTCTATTCTATCTCCCCTTTTGAGTGAGATTTATGCATCCTCCCTTGGATCCTCCTTGCTTTTTATCTCCTTTGGGTCTGTTCCTCATAGTATCCTCATCCTGTACTATATGATAAAATGCACTTATATGAGTACATACCATGTGTGTCTTTCTGGGTCTGGGTTACCTAATTCAGGACAGTCTTTTCTAGTTCCATCCATTTGCCTGCAAACTTCATGTTTTCTTTGTTCCAAATAACTGAGTGGTATTCTGTTGTATAGGATTGTTCTGAGTTTTTTTTTTTTCCATATGAAGTTCAGAATTGTTCTTTCAAGGTCTGTAAAGAACTTTCTTGGTATTTTGATGGGGACTGCACTGAATTTGCGGATTGCTTTTGGTAAGATGACCATTTTTCCTATGTTAATTGAAGTGAAAGTTCCTGGTTTCCTTAAAGACTCAGTTTTGTCATGTGATGTTTTGCCTGAGGTTGGCTTTGTGAGAGGGCATGTGATGTTTTGCTGTGAGCTCTTTCATGCGAGGCGTGAGTCTTTGGCTAGCTGAAAACATTCATGGGTGGATTTTGAGGAGAAAAGACATATACAGAGGCTCATGCACAGTGAGACATCACTTTTTGGGCTGACATCACTGTGCTGATCTTCTGAGAGGAACATTCCACAGAACTTCTCAGGGCAATCGAACTGAGTCTTAGGCCTCATGCTGGTTTCATGTTCTTGTTGTGGGTCTTTGAACTGTACTGCTGGTATCCAGAGGACTGCGTTTGTTAATCCCCTAAAGACTCATGACCCTAGTCTGCAGGAAGTAAATAAAACAGGTCTACAGCCCTTTTTCCTACTAATCCCCTACTAAGGTCAGGGGTGGGGAGTGCTGGAAGGGAGGTAAAGGTGTTTAAGAACCATAAATAAAATAGGTTTGGTGAAGAAAAAAAAAAAAAACTAAGCCTAGAGTTAATCCTATAGATTCATGAACATGGGACAGCTTCCCATGTTCTGATATCTTCTGCAATTTCTTTCTTCAGAGACTTGAAGTTCTTGTCATACAGGTCTTTCACTTGCTTGGTAAGAGTTACACCAAGGTACTTTATATTATTTGTGGCTATTGTGAAGGATGTAGTTTCCCTAATTTCTTTCTTGGCCTGTTTGTCCTTTGTGTACAGAGGACTACTGATCATTTTAAAATTAACCTTCTATCCAGCCACTTTGCTGAAGGTGTTTATCAGCTATCGCAGTGCTCTGGTACACTTACAAATGCTATCATATCACCTGCAAATAGTGATAATTCCCAGTTTGTGTCCCCTTGATCTCCTTTGGTTGTCTTATTGCTCTAGCTAGAACTTCAAGTACTGTGTTAAAGAGGTAGGAAGAGAGTAGGCAGCCTTTTCTTGTCTCTGATTTTAGTGGAATTGCTTTCAGTTTCTTTCCATTTAATCTGATGTTGGCTATTGGCTTACTGTAATATATTTAGGTACATGCCTTGCATCCCTGATCTCGCCAATGCTTTTATCATGAAAGGGTGTAGAGTTTGTCAAAGACTTTTCTGCACCTAATAAGATAATCATGTGATTTTTTTTTCTTTGAGTTTGTTTATATGGTGGATTACATAGATGAATTTCTGTATGTTAAACCATCCATGCATGCCTGGGATAAAGCCTACTTGATCATGGTGGATGATGTATATGATGTGTTCTTGGATTTGGTTTGGGAGTATTTCATTGTTTTTGCACTGATGTTCATGAGTGAAATTCGTCTGAAATCCTCTTTCTTTGTTTAGTCTTTGTGTGGTTTGGGTATCAGGATGACTGTGGTTTCACAGAAGTTTGGCAATGTTCCTTCTCTTTCTATTTTGTGGAATATACTTTGAAGAGTGTTGGTTTTAGCTCTCCTTTGAAAGTCTGGTAGAATTCTGGACTAAAACCATCTGATCCTGAGCTTTGTTCCATTAGGAGAATTTCATGATTGCTTCTGTTTCCTTAGAGGTCATAGGACTATTTAATCTGTTTACCTGATCTTGATTTAGGTTTGGTGAGTGAAATCCACTGTGAAAATGGTCCATTTCTTTTAGGTGTTTCAATTTTGTGGAATACAGGCTTTTGAAGTAAGACCTAATGATTCTTTCTGTTTTCTCAGGGTCTGTTGCTATGGCCCCACTTTTGTTCCTGATTTTCTTAATTTGTACACTGTCTTTCTGCTTTTTAGTTAATTTGGTTAGGAGTTTGTCTATCTTATTTTTCTCAAAGGACCAGCTCTTGGTTTCATTGATTCTTTGTATTGTTCTCTTTGTTTCTAAGTTGTTGGTTTTAGCCCTGAGTTTGATTCTTTCCTGCTGTCTACTCCTCTTGGGTGTGTTTGTTTCTTTTTGTTCTAGAGATTTTAGGTGTGTTTTAAATTGCTAGTTTGAGAACCCTCCAATTTCTTCTTGAAGGCACTTAGTGTTATGAACTTTCTCCTTAGCACTGCTTTCAATATCCCATAAGTTTGTGTACGTTGTGCCTTTATTTTCATTGAATTCTAGAATTAAATTTTTTATTTGTTTATTTCTTCCCTGACACACTGGTCATTTAGTAGAGAGTTTCCCAGTTTCCATGAGTTTCTAGCATTTCTCTTTTTTCTGTTGTCATTGAAATCTAGCTGATAAGGTCTGATAAGACCACCATAGTGGTCTGATGAACAGCACCAGACATATGAGAAAATATTGGCAGGACCTCACCTTCAAAACGATTCCTTAAATAGGCAAACACTCTATTCCTTTTCCTCAATCAATAATCTTTTTAAACTAAAGCGTTGTATCTACCCACAACATGGATTTGGAATCATTAGACTACTTCATCTGTTCCTGTACCCAGCAGGTTTATTTGATTGTTTTTAGTCATATTCATCTCTTTCTTGATGTGTTTGGAAGGGAGGTTAGGCCTGGCAGCACATGCACCACAAGCTGGGGATTTGGAGTTAAACTCCATTTAAAACACTCTCATGCAGCAACAAATTTCACCAGTGCTCCACTGGCCTTCATGGCTTCCTCAGTGAACTTACATGGATGTCTAGCTGACTTTTCTCCTTAGGATGCTTAGAAGATGCTTTATCATTTTCTTCCACTAAGATCTCATCTCATACACTGTTATGAATGCGGGGATTAAGGGAAGAGGACCAAAGTGAAAATGTGGCTTTTGAAGGGAACACTGGATGTAGTCACTTCCCCTAGGGGTTGACCTGCCCATTGGGGAAACACTGTTTTCCAGCCACTTCCAGATAAGACATCAAGATTCAGAAGCTCTCCTTAGAAACGCAGACACTGAACTCCAGACACCAGCTCCCTCCACCATCTCTCCAATTTAGAGAGGATATTTCATTGCTTCAGTGGGAACACCTGTTTTCTATTTGGGACTGAGTGGATCCAGGGCAATACTTGGGGCTTAGCCTATAACCCTAAGAGATCTTCCACACACCAAAATCATGACTGAATCTTACTCACTGGTTCCCACAGTGATCACCATTGTACTCCAGAGCACAAGGAAAATGCCTGTGCATTTCAGATATTCCCACCAGGTAATATGTCTTCACACTAATAAGTCTTCAGAGATTCTAAGCATCTTCACTGCATAAATGCCCATTCTGCCCCCCACCTCAAAAGCAAACTTTTCAGCAGTGAAAAGCTTGCAAGTTCTGCTCTGCCCTGAATACACATTATTGGGGCTTACATGTCTCCAACCTGATACTTGATTGCATTTCTCTGTGTTCTTTTTCACTTTAACAAAAAACCTCACACCTTAGGTTCGGTCCTTTGATTTACATCATTTTCTTCTCACCAGTATTTTTGCTAGTTATAGGGAGTTGGCATGATCAGAGCACATCATCTTGGCATACAGAGTTTAGGATGTTTATATCTTTAAGGAAAAAATACAGTCAATGGGAATAGAAGATTTAAAATTCAAACACAACCTCAATGTCAAAAATATTTTATTTTGAATGAATAGATAACTACAAAAGTGTCATGTGGGTGGGAGATATTTGGCCATGGAGTCTCCTGACACATTTTGTAAACACTAACACTCTCATATCAGACCTTTTGATCGGCCTGTCTGAAAGCATACTGGCCATACAGATTCCTCTGTACTTTCAATGTCTTGACCTCAAAGAGAAACATAATTGCACCAAGAAGCGACAGGATGGTTGTCAGAATACCCACTGGGAACACATGAGTGCTGTGCTTGTTTATCAGGTCTGCCTTCTTAACTGGAAAGGTGGATGGAAAGTCAAGGGTGGTTTTGCCATAGAACTCTACTACATAGTTCCAGGTCACAGCAGTTATGATACATAGGCTGCTGGCAATCAGAATTAAGACAGAGCATTTGCAGCACAGTAATTGAATCTCATGGAATGGAAATTTGACAATGCCAACCCTAATTGTTGCTGAGCTAAAAATCACAACAAAGATTTTTATCAGTATTGCCAATAATATCAGAGTCTGTGCACATTGGAATTCAGGTGAAATGGTCCAGTCAGAGTTGACAGGAATGTGCACCAGAACTCTGGTCACAGAACCAGAGATGTTAAACTCCTGATGGTAATAAGCTTCCCAGAGTCCGATATACACAAGCTGAACAACCTTATCATCGAATTCCCAGAGGCGCCAGTGCCTGCTGCTTGCAAGGATTATTCCAAACCCCACATATAGGAGGCTGCAAAAGAAGCCAGTCAGCTTGAAGATCCACTCCTTTGCTCCAGCAAATCTGAAGATGAGATAGAACAAGTATAATATCAAGCCAAGAACATAACAGAAGGATGGGGAACTTATAGGCCATGGTTTACAGAGTCCCAAGTACTCGAAGTTGTCCCTGCTGTCTTAACATTTTATCTAAGTGGTCTGTATACACTACTGGGGTTCCACACACTAGTTAAATACATATAAGAAGCCTTGAGATCTACGACTGTGGCAGGAGTCCAGACTGTAAGATGTTTTAGACACTGACTGTGTCCTTCAAATGCTGCTATGTTTCTAGTTGTTGACTAGGAATGTCAACGCTTGGAGCTAACGGTGGAAAAAGAGTTTGTAGTATCATTGAAGGTGATGCTTACTGCGTCCTTCTTTGCAAAACAGAACGATTATAAATAACTGTAATGAGAGTTTCAAAAGAATGAATGCTCAAATTATTGTAGTGGATTATTGCCTGATCCTTACTAGAACACTTTAATATCTGTATAACCCTTTAGAAGAGAGAAGCAAAAAGAAACACAATGTACACAGTATGCCCATTTATGTAAAAGAAAACATGTGACTTCTTTAAATATCTGAATATATATCAGTGTAAGCATGCACAGAAAATGAATGATAAGTTGACCAATTAATGGAGAATATGCCATCATAATTACTTTCATATTTACTAAATAGTGTTAATTTCCATAGAAAGTTTTGTGTAATATTGCATAATTAAAAACAACATGAATACAAAATTAAACTTCTATTTGTAACTGGATAGAGATATAACTTGGTGTTAGAGTGATGGTTGCTACTATGTGTGAGGTGTTGCGTTCACAACCTAGGACCACAGAACAATATGTTTGTAAAAGATGAGGAATCATGGATATGTGCATTTTATATCTGCTCTTTATTCAATAGTGCACCTTGCTAAAATTGAATTCGTTTGGGTGCAACACATAATGTATGTGGAGGTGCTTTGAGTGAACAAACATCATCTTTGACACAATACTTACATTTCACAATAACAGTATGAAACTATTTGGTTCTTCAATCAATTCAAATATTTGACTATAACAATAAGGAAAATCCTTATTGTTATAGTCAAATATTTAGCTGAAAGGAAGGAGGCAAAGTTCTTCAGTGATTCCAGGTTGTGCATAACGCTGTTACCATTGCACAAGCAGAAATGTGAGGAGCCTACAAAAGAGATTTCCTTGCCAGCAAGCATTACCTACCAGCTATCCAATGTTCCACAATCTTCTGTGGATTGTGTTTCCTAAAGGGGTGAAGGCAGTTGATGTACTACTTGGAAAATTACATCAACATGATGGGTTTGCAATTGATGGTGGCTTTAGTACCACCATGAGCTCTGTCTTGCCAAGGCAGCTCTGAGGCAGTCTGACTGCAGGAGCAAGATGCTTTGAATCAGAAATGAAATCAGGATGGAGAGTAATTTTATGTGAGACAAATGTGTGCTCTTGGCAGAATGTGGTGCTTGCCTTGTCTAAACCTCAATGGGTAAATAAAAAAATGTTGTAAAGAATCAAGTAGAAAGCCTTCATATATCACATTTTGTTTTTACCTTTTAGTGTCATCATTGACTGGATCCATTTGGAGGATGCCGATATCACCACTCTTCTTCTAAATCAGTAGAAATATATATCAGTGAGACTATTATCACAAGAAGACATGAATGCCCTGAATGAAAGAAGTTTTGTTAGTCACATGTTCCTGCTCAGCATGAAGCCTTGCTTACTGTTGGGCTCTTACAGGCCTTTGGATTCATAACACAGGCTTTGCTTCATTTGAACCTACTTTAAACAGTCCAGGAGATTAACGATCATTCGATGTTACCCACACACATATTAGCCCCATTTTATACATAGGGAAATACCACAGAGTCGTTAATTCTTATCTACAGCATCAGTGAGTTACACAGATATGTGATCAGTTCAGGCCTGGGAGTCTGAATATTCTCACATACAGGGCTTCCTGGCACTTATGATGTTCAGCAGGTTGTTCTCAAATGGAAGGGTTGTCCAAAAGGAGCCTAATCTATATACCAGAGGTCTTTTGGGCATTCTCTGTTGTAGGATAGTGAAGGTGGTTAATGTAAACTACAAGGAGTATATAAAAGTATTACCTTTTTATCTCTCTTCTCAGAAGCCCAAATGTTATCGACTGCCAACCTGAAGAGAAACAAGTTACTGTAAACATTCTTATGTTTCCGTGGCTACTAGGATTGGGTGTCGATTCCTGAACAATGATTAGGTTCCAATAGGCACACATGAAATGCCAGAGTGAAGTCTTTAAAATTACTTTGTTATTGAATCATGCATTAAATAGCCACCGTAACTTATAGAACCCTGTGAAGACAATTCATGGTTGTCTATTTGACCACATCTGAATTAACTGAAACTCAAAGGACTAGTCACACCTTTGGGGATTTTGTGCCCTTATTGAATCCCTTGAATGCAAAGACTCATTTCTCATGCACATCTTTGAGATGAGGAGATATGACGTTAAACAGACATCATTTGGGATGAGAAGGCCCAGCTTTAATCTGGACCACACCTTGTGCTGGCAGCCTATATAGAGGACATGGACGGAAGCTTGTTATTGTTGTCTGCTTGCTCTCAATCTTTGAGCAAGTCTGTTCCCTCACTGGCATTGAAGCTCATTTTTTGATTCTGGAATATACTGCAGTCAGGCTGTGACACGCAGCCTTTTTGCCAGAAGACCTACTGCATTCTTAGACCTTCTTTTGGTAGACAGGCATTGTTGGATCTGTTGAGCCACACATTGTTAGCCACTGTAATAAATTGCCCTCATAGATACATAGATAGATAGATAGATACATAAATAGATAGATGATAGATAGATCATAAGAGATAGAAGATATATGATAGATAGATGTAGATATATAAAGATAGATCATACATACATACATACATATATACACACATACATGGACACATGATATAAATCCTGATCCTCCAAAGAACACTGACAAGATGAAAGGGGAGGAGGTCCTCCCCTATCAGTGGACTTGGAAAGAGGCAGGGAGAAGATTAGGGAGGGAGGGTGAGATTGGGAGGGAATGAGGGAGTGGGATACAGCTGGGATACAGAGTTAATAAACTATAATTAATATTAAAAAATAAAAATTAATTAAAAAAAGAACACTGACAAATAAACATTGTATTACTAGAAGTTTTCTAGAGTAAAAAATATGAATCTTTTAATGTGTGGAATAGGCTTTCCAATTTGCCACATCTATAGCTACTGAACACTTCTCCAGCTACTGAAGCTGCTCAGGGAAGCTCAGAGAAAACTAGAAGCCCATGGTGTGAGCCATTTTACAAACTTAAAGAAACAAATGCATTTGGTTATCCTGATTCACCAATTATGAGGCACAAAGGATTTGGTGACTCTCTATATGAAACATTTAAAAATATGTGGAAAACAAAGAAAATGAAGATGCTGGTCAGTTGCTTTGGCCTTATCAGAGGAGAAACATGAGGAAGAAAAATATCCAAAAACCTACTGTATGGAACTTGGAGTCAGTGGGGAAATGAGGTCTACTTTTTAATACCATCTCATCAGTGAGCTGGGCATCAGCACTGGATTTTGAGAGAGCAAAAATACTATGTCTATAATGCTCCTTTCCATGGAACAAAACTCAGCGACTAGCGTCTGGATTCTAGGGAAAGCATCACTTTGGTCCTCTGGTATACCAGTGTTTGAAGGTGCTTGCTGTTGTCAGGAGCCTGATATTCATTTTTGTCCACCATCAATGCCTCTCTTCTGAGGCCAGGGATATGTGGTAGGAGGGTTGGTGACCAATGACAGACACCTGAGAAAGAGTAAAAATAGCAAGGAGCACTGGAAGCACACAGCTGCTTGAGGAGGACAGCTAGAGGGAGCACCATGTGACTAGCCACCTCTGTGACAGAAGAGCAAGTGCTGGGAGGTGGCTGTCCCTTAAGATACGGTGTTGCCAATCACACGCATCCCAAGCTCATCTTGGCTTCTGTGGCTCTGCCATTCTCGTTGGGGTGGGTTTTCTGCTGATCCCTGTCACAGTGGAGGGTGTTCAGGAAATCATATACCTTTTTGTTCAGAGCAGTAGCCAGAATGCTGGCAACTGCTGAGCTGTCACCATGGCTACGGAGAGATTATTTTCTTTCTTTTTTTTCCAAATTTTTATTTTTTATATTAATAACAGTTTATTCACTTTGTATCCCAGATGTAGCCCCTTCCCTTATTCCCTCCCAACCCCTACCCACCCTCCCTCATCTCCTCCTTGCCCCTCTCTAAGTCCACTGATAGGAGAGGTCCTCCCCCCCTTCCATCTGGCCCTAGTTTATCAGGTCTCATCAGGGCTGACTGCATTGTCTTCCTCTGTGGACTAGCAAGATTGCTCCTCTCTCGGGGGTGGGGGAAGGTCAAAGAGCCAGACATTGAGTTCATGTCAGAGACTGTCCCTGTTCCCCTTGCTAGAGAAACCCACTTGGATACTGAGCTGACATGGGCTATGTCTGAGAAGGGGTTCTAGGTTATATCCATGCATGGTCCTTGGTTAGAGAATCAGTCTCAGAAAAGACCCCTATGCCCAGATAATTTTGGTCCTTGTAGAGCTCCCGGCCTCTCCAGGTCTTACTAATTCCCCCTTCTTTTATATGATTCCCTGCACTCTGCCCAAGGTTTGGTTACGAGTCTCAGCATCTGCTTTGATACACTGCTAGGTAGAGACTTTCAGAGTCCCTCTGTGGTAGACTCCTGTCCTGTTTCTTGTTTTCTCCTACTTCCAATGTCCATCCCATTTGTCTTTCTAAGCGAGGATTGATCATCTTATCCCGGATCAAAGACCTCTACCTAAAACCAGACACACTAAATCTGTTAGAAGAAAAATTTTGTTAGAGCCTTGAACTCATTGGCACAGGAGACAACTTCCTGAACAGAACACCAATAGCACAGGCTCTAAGATCAACAAGGAATAAATGGGACCTCATGAAACTAAAAGCTTCTGTAAAGCAAAGGACACTGTCATCAGAACAAAATGACAGCTTACAGACAGGGAAAGGTTTTTCACCAACCCTATATCTGAAAGAGGGCTAATATCCAGAATATATAAAGAACTAAAGAAGCTAAAAAGCAACAAATCAAGCAATCCAATTAAAAAATGGGGTACAGAGCTAGACAGAATTCTCTGAAGAGGAATATAGAATGACAGAGAAATACTTAAAGAAATGTTCAACGTCCTTAGCCATCAGGGAGATACAAATCAAAACGACCCTGAGATTTCTTTCTTTTTTAATTCATTTTTTATTCACTTTACAACCTGGTTGTAGCCCCACCCTTCTCTCCCTCTCAGTCCCAACCACTCTCCCACCCATCTCGCCCCTTGTCTATTCCTCAGAAAAGAGGAGACCCCTTTCCCATCCCCCACAGTTCATCAAGTTGCATCAGGTCTGAGAAAGGCAGTTCCTCCAGGTGAAGTGATCAAAATGCTAGCAAGTGAGTCCGTGTCCAATGCAGTCCCTACTTCCCTTACTAAAGAACCCACATGAAGCCTAAGTTGCCCATCTGCTACATCTTTGTAGATAGCCTAGATCCAGTTCATTCATGGCCCTTGGTTGATGCTTCCATCTCAGCCATCCCATCTGGGCCCTTGTTAGTTGGCAACCCCTAATACTATAAATGATACTTTGCTAAGTTTGAAGACTGGAGTCTGTCAGAGTTGTCCTCTGAGAGGCTCTGCCCAGCAGAGCCTCAAAACAGATGCTGAGACTCATAGCCAAACATTGGGTGATGTGTAGGCAGTCTTGTGGAAAAGTGGGAGGAAAGAGTAAAGGACCTGGATGTGACAGGAGCTCCACAAGAAGACCAACAGAGAGACTTCTCTTATTCTGGTATCTTTTAAGGTTAAAATTATGCCAGGCAGTGATGGTGCATGCTTTTAATCCCAGCACTCAGGAGGTAGAGGCAGGTGGATCTCTAGGAGTTCAAGGCCAGCCTGGTTTACAGAGAGAGAGATCCAGGACAGCCCAGGGCTACACAGAGAAACCCTGTCTCGAAAAACAAAAACAATTAAGAAATGATATGTTTCTATGCCTGAGGTTTTTTTGTTTTTGTTTGTAATTTGACCTGAGTTAATTTGGTTGTTGATGGTTCTGAACATCTTTTATCCTAGGTGGGTCATTTTGAAGACTGGAGTGTTAAAGTTATTCCTTGGGGATAAACAAAATAGTTAGGGAACTCTGTATTTTATGTAGCAACCATGTGGATGGAATACAGGACCTATAGAACATTAACAGACACTGTTGAAATCATTTACATACAATGAACCCTACCACTAAGAAACCAAGACAGCAGCCCACTATGGGATGTTGAGGAAAACAGAAGAGTACTCTGATAACACACAAACATGACTGGGTTCTTTTAACATGGAGTCCATAAAGGAAATAATAACTTTCATAGCTTAGCCAACATAAATGTACAAGGATTTGACTTTCTAAAGGTTTTTCTTTTTTTTTCTTTTTTTTTTTTGTCATTAATGCTAGTACATACATCTTAGGCATTTGGAGAAGATAGACCATACATTAACAGAATAAGTTTCTGTGCTTGAGGGGTT